AGGAATAAGTATAAATGCTTTGTAGATAAGCAATCATTGAATCCATGGCTTTAAATCCCAGCTGAGGAACTAAAATGAAGATTAATCCTTCCCAAATAATAATCAATTACCAAATATGACTAGCATATTGATCTATAGTCAAACCATTAAACCAGGGACCTCCTGGTTTATAAGACCTCATATAATCCACTTAGCCATAGTGCCTCCTCTTTGAAGTCAAGTACACTACTTTAATTACATGTTCTTCCTTTTTTTGCATAATATTATCATGTTCTCAAATATCACTACATTCATTTTTAATAATTTTTATGATATAATAACATTTAAAAAAAGAACATTTAGTCAGGGTATCTGCATCGCACGTGCCATTTGTTGAGAGCTGATTTTCTTTCTTAAATAAGAAAAAAAATTGATAATATAATTATCTTAAGAGAACATCATTATCCAAACCTCAAAGTATCATATTTCTATAGCAAATAATCTACAGTGCAGGTGCTTCATTAGTTTTCTATAATACACTCAGCTTTACACTCATATATAGATACATTTTTACATTTATATAATCTCTTTTTTGTTTCTCCAATTTTCATGTAACATATTTTCCACAGCATCTTTCTAATCCTTCAAATCTTATAATTATTTTCTACAAATGGTAACCAAAATTAAAATACTGTTTGAATGCTTCGTAATGTACAATTCGTTGCTTAATCATAAAAACTGGCACTTCTGTTTTTTGTATGTACATAGTAATAAATAAATAATTTGTGTCATTATAGATGTTCAAATTCTGAAGGCTTTTGATAGATATAAACGTTGATACACCACACCTATGAGTTTACCTAAAAGAGAGATTAGTCTTCTCTAAGCTCCACTAAATCCGCCAGAAAGGTGAGAAAGTATGTAAAGGTTAATTAAAAACAACAGCAGTAGTGGTTTTTCAGTGAAGTGACATTACAACAAGATATTACCTTTTTAAATATAATTGTATTTCCTTTTTAAGATATCTTTAAACTATTGCACACACACAACAAATTCATGAATATGACTTCTATATTCCTATGAAGTTATATATATTCAAAGAAATGTACAGCTGTATAATTCACTATCAGGTACTAAGCATGCAAGACAAAGGACAAATGTACAATAAACGCCCTTTTAGGTATTACATCATGATACAGACATCTGATTATATACAGACTGAACAAGATGGCAAGAATGCAAATTTTGGTTATCTGAGAAAGATTTTAGAACATTTCAGATCTTATAATACACAGGAAGAGAGGTGACAGATGGGAGAAATATCTTGAAAATATTAAAGATAAAGACTAGAATAAGAAGAGAAAAGAATAGAAGGTACAGAAATGAGTCAATGAGAAAGGAGAGGTTTTAGAGACAGCAATGAATTGTAATTACATATATTTGCAATTTCAATGATCATGATAGATATATACTGAGCTATATATATTGAAGCATATCAAATGGTCTTTTCTGAACTTACATTTGATCAAGATCAGCTTCTCATTTGCATAAAATAATTCAAGAGAAATATAGGGATATTACACTTTGCACATGTAAAAGAAACCCCAACAAAACATCTGTATGGTATGTGTTCATCATGATGAAATCCTTTGGTGAAGATATATGTCTGATTTATCTTTAGATAATCTAAGATCAAATTGCCAATCAATATTCCACTTCTTCCCCTATAAATAAAGCATTTTGTATTTAAAGTGTCAAATATTCTACAGGTTGAGATTAAGCTACTTGCATAGAACATTATCTGTATCCAATAAGCCTAGCAATCAATGAGATATTAATTTACTACCTGAACAGTAATGACTTCATCCCGGCACAAATATCATTTTAGGATTATTTCTGACTGCACTATGAGAATGAAAAATATATTCATATTAATTAATGGGCTATACCAACCACGATGGTTCATATAAAATCATGGTATTTAATGAATAATCCTCAGGAATTTCCACCTTTACTGAATCGTCAGTAATTATCATGCTAACATAATAAAATTAAAATGAATATTGAACAAAACAAATTATTGCACACAAAAATGGCAACTTATGGTACTCCTCAGTACTGCATGAAAACAATATATGCAGGAATAAAGTCAAACTAAAGCTAAATAACTTTCTTTCTATCATACCGGTATCAATGGTACACATGCTCCAAAAGCTTTTTTTAAAGGAAATATTTCTTCTACCAAAATGTCCAATTTGCTGTCATGGTGGAACTGCATATATTCAAACTATTCACAGAATACTGTACATAAATATGCATTGCAACACAGTTTGACATATTTGTACAGTTTTTCATGAACAGATATATTTGAGTTTAATCTATGTGCTGCCCACTGACCTCCATGTATCAAAGCTGTAAAGGGACCTACCTTTCCTTTCTATTATCACCTTAGTTTACATTTTACAAGTGTTCTAACAAATTTAGGGAGGAAAAAATCAATCATAATTACTTAATTGTTAATCCAAATAACCCCTCACCCGAGAGAGATTAGCTTTAATTCCTGAGCACTGAAATCTAAAAAAAAAGGAACAATGAGATGTAGTACCAATTTTGATAGTTCTTTTTCAAAAGAGATGTGAACTTTTGAAATACTAGTTATTTTTTTTTTTACAGAAGTTCCATATTTTGCAACATACACTTATGATTAACAATGGGGGTTGGGAAGGCTTTATATTGAAAACATTGATGAAGAATAAAACTCATATCTTTTACATTGATTTTGCAACTACTTCTACAAGTCCTGCAAGCCACACACTTATACCAATCCTCAAGCAGCGGTCTGACTCTAAAATGGCTGTTTCATTTGTAAGGGTTGCCCCAGGTATATATTCAAGAGAAAAAGAAGAGAAAAAAAAGAGAAGGAAGAAAGAAACAGATGATGGCAGAAAGCGAAATGAATAGGGTGAAAAGTCAAAAGAATTTACACAACTTGAAACAGCATGAGAAGGTAGAAAAAAAGACACAAAAATAAATCTGAGATAGGGAAATTTAGGGGCAGGCATGGTAAAAAAACAGAGCAGTCTGATAAAGAGTATGAATTTGAAAATGTGTACAAATATAAAACAGAGAGAGGGAAGAAAAAAAGAGAAAGAAATAGACAATAAGCTGGAAAATAACAGAGTTCTGATTCTCATGGAACTGTGCCATATTGCTACCATGGGCTGCAGATGTGCCACCATCACACAAAGGAAGATGCGAGGAGTCATCTCTCTCTCTCTCTTAACCTTTAAAGAAACACTCTTTTTCCTGAAGTGATCTGAATCATCTGAAGTGACTAATCATAGATATAATCTATCACACTGCCAGACTGACTGGGCTTTTGACTGATATTCTCTCTGAAAACTTGTATCATTTCATCTCTATATAATAATACCATCCATTTTTAAAATTCAATCTCTATTAAAGGACTAATCTGATTAAAATTAAATAAAAACCAATATAGACTCACTACTGCTTGAGAAATACAACAACTGGCTACAGCGCACACAAAATTCAAACAGGCCGACATGAATGCATTCCTATCAGTATTACTAGCATCCTTCAATAAACCAGAAGCAGAAGGCAGTAATGTACAATGTGATTATGTCATTATCTGGTAAGCTTTAAAAAAAAATGTTTTCTCTTGAAAATACATTGTAACAGGTTCATAATCATGAAACAGGATAGGATCAAAACAGAATTTGGAAAGCTTAAATATTGATAAACAAGTTCTGGAATAATGTTCTCCTCCTTTTATAGTAAAAAATGTACTTCTACAACATCTCAACTTGTATTGATATGTGATGCCTTAATCTAGTTAACCCCAATTTTTTTCACCACTTTTTTTTGAGTGCATGATCAACTTCAAAGTATATGTATGTCTAACATTTCTTCACACACTGCAAACCTGAATATACAGGTCTAAAAATCAAGCACATCACAGAGCCAGAAGGGCATTCAAGTTTTGACAAGTTACTGCCCTTCTCGCTCTCAGCAGACAATATTCAATTCAAAATGTTTTACAGCATCCTTGTCCCCTTGTACGACAGTGCAAACTAATATAATGCAAGTATTTCTCTCCTTGTAAGTTGAAAATTTGAAAAAATCTTTTCCTGGTAAACATAACTCTGATTCTGTTCTTGTATAGTGCATAAAGCAAAACAAATCTCATTATGTACTTTGTAAATCATGATCCTGACTTTGGCTTAGTAGCGGATAAGTGGCAGTCACAGCATTCAAGGTATATAAGCTGCAACTAGGTATCAATAAAATACACCTGGGCAAAGAGAAACAAGTGCAAGTAAAATGCAATATTGATGGCTTAAGAGCTAAGATTCAAATCAAGATAACTTTGAATGAAAACGAGAACATACCATTGGATGGTTTAAGTGTATGTCTGTATTTGAACTGTGCATGGGTAGCTTAATTTCTGTCCCCATCTCTCAATTTTTCTGTACAACTTTATGAAAAGCACAAGCAAAAAGCACAAGCAATGATTATCATTACAAATTTGTGGAACAGCAACTTCTTTCCATATGTGAAAAAACAAGAATAACAATATGATTCCTTGCAATTCATCCCATGTGACATACACCTTGTCCCCAAATTTTTTATCAAAAAATAAAGAATCTCTTGAGATGACCATTGAAAAATTATGCTTTTTGTAATATTCATAGCCATTACAAGAGATTTTCCATTCATGAATGAAATATATGAATAGATACCATACATTGTTCAGGCTACATTGCACAGAATCGTCCATCATCATTATCTCATATGGTTTCTTTTCAAGTTGGACACTCCTCTATTTTCCTCATAATCAAATTCTTCTTCAAGAAAAAGGAGTGAATAGGATGGAATAGTCCAGGACCATGTATGACAGCAAATTAGTTATTTTATTGATTATACTATCCACCATCCACTGACCCACCATACCCAGAGAGTAGCCCTCCAGTAAAACCAAATGATGCAAGTTTCCATTCCAGTACAGCCAATCAGAATCACTGATACTGCTCTAACTTAGTGGCAGATCAGGATTGGTCAATGTCACAGGACATCTGTTTGGATAAAGTTTTAATTCAATTATAAGCTTTTCAGTATGTCCCAACATTTCCAACTAGTGAATTTCCTTAAAGTCTTATTTACTATTACATGTGTTACATTCATGAAACACATATTTCAGATAAAGCACTGTATGTTTTAGATGATTCTTAAAAATGTTAATAAAAGAATGAATGAAACAAATAAATGAATGTTGCAACAAGGATGATGTATTCTCTGATGAGAGAGCATACAAATAGTACTCTGATATCATGTTCCTCAGTAAGTCTTCATCCTACGTTTTCAAGTTCCAATGTAAACCTGTAACTAGAATACAAGATTCTCATTCTCGCGCTTGATCACTTGTGATAGTCTATCCTGAAGATGGTCTTAGCTCGGCTACAAGATGGACCGACATACTTGTTTGGTACTTCATCAGTTCTAATGGTCTTGTGAGTGTCAGGGCCAGTTCTCCCATTCTCCTTCTTCTTCTATTTGTAGGAACAGGCTTGTGAAGAGAACCGTAAAGCCAACGTTCAGGACCAGGACTAACAGAATAAGGCCCTTGCTGGCAGACCAGGTCTAAAAGAGTGGAACAAAGAGAAAGAAGAGAGAGAGGGAGAAAAAGAACAAAATTAAAAAAAATTAATAAAGACGCACAATGCTATTTGACATAATTTAGCATAACAAAAGCATCTTTGTTACATAGTTTTTATCAACTTACAGCGATAAGCTGTAAATTTTACATTCCTAATAAGTGATTTATTCTCAATATGATTCATAAGATGTACTTTTTTAATATATTTTTTTAAAAAGTACAACATTTAAAGGTCATAATATCTTTCCATTAAAAAAAAAGTTTCATAAAAATATACTTTCTGCATGACATGACATATTTTACATCAATAATTTGATGCTGAACACCGTAGAAGTTCATCATTAAAGGTCAATAAACAATGTTCCCGATGTTAAATGAACTGTCATGCACATGGTTAAAATGTAACAAGATGGGTGCTTGTAGGCAGGTGTACAGTTATGGTGAGGCTGGAAAAACAGCTCTGTGATAAAACAATAGAGGTGAGAAAAGTGGGTGAAAATAATGAAAGAAATAATAATGGAAAGGTAGTGAGGTGAAAACAAATACAAATAAAGAGGGGGAGCAATATGAAAAGGGGTTAAATTAAAATAAGAGAAAATGAAACAGCAATCTTGATTTGATCCATTTAACCCTGCCATGACAATAAATCAGTATAATTTTTGTTAGTCAATTACATTACACATTTGTGGTATCATTAGAGGGTAAAAGGGAAAAGATATTTCAGACTTATTTCAGGAATGTCTACTTAAATATGAAATAAACTAAAAAGAAGAAAAAATAACTTGGGTTTTTGTTATAAAGGTCAGTCCATGCATTCAGTCTTAGACTTAAAACAGTTTTTGCTCTTCAAAAAAATTTTAGCCACCAAATGAAAAGAAGAAAGAATACTTCTTTCTCCTGTACATCAATTGGCATTCCATCGGGTGCCATGAAATAATTATGTACAATCAGCAATTTAGCAACAGTGCAAGTAAATTCAGAAATTGCAGTACTCTTTACAAACTCAATAGAGGGAAAGAATTTTACAGGAGTGCCAGAGATTATATTAACATGTTAAATGGGTCAACAGGTGTTCTGGAATTTATGGACTGTTGTATGTTCCTATGTCAATTTAAAGCATTGAACTAATATATAATGATTTAATGTAAACAGATTAGTTATCATATAACACGCTTTTAAAGAAAATATTGTTGCTTTATATTATATGAAAACACACTTATTTCAAAAGCACAATGATCCAAGGATGAAGGTGGTATATATTCAGTTAAAACATCTCTCTAGTTGTGATAAGTGTTGTCGATTGACAAATAATGCATCACCCCTGAAATTACCATAGAAACTGTACATATATAATTGTTTATATAAAGGTATATTTAACTTACATAAGTAAATATGTGCAGCATGCAACATCAAGCCCCCTTGCTCCTTTATCCAAAGTTTGCTTGCAATTTTCAGGATTCCTGCTCCTTTGTAACTTCTACTAGAGTACGCTATACCTCCAAGTAAAATGTTTCCTGGATCTTAATTGTGTAACTGATAAGAAGCCCAGCTCCTTCTGCATCAATGTATCCTCTATTTGTTCATCTATGGGAGTGCTCCTTAGAAACAATACGCAAAGTTTGTGTATATACAGATCATGCAAGGTGAAAGAGGCGCTACAATTCAAGGCCAAAGACGATTGCTGCAACTCGTTCAGGGCTTCAAAATAAATAAATTAAGGCCATGCTTCCTGTCATCATCACACCAACACAGACAAGCAGAAACTCAAGATGACTGAAGAAACAAGCAATATGTACATGTTTGTGTTTTGAGGACTAGAGGTAAGACCAGGACCAGGGCTAGGGCCAGCTGTCCCAGTTGCCTTCTTCTTCCATCTGTAAGAAGAGACTGGTGAATAGGACTGTGAAGCCTACGTTGAGCACCAGGACTAGAACGGTTAGACCTTTGCTTGCAGCCCAGTTCTGTAGTAAAGTAACAAGATGCAGAGTAAAGAGAAGAGAAATAAAGAATAAATATCAGTTGTTTGTTTATAACTAAACATCATGTTTTGTAACTTTGGCTACTACTACTAAATATATAATGAAATTCCTTTACTGGGGAGTTTCTCATTCGCAATCAGTCATTTAACAAATGCCAAATTGCACCATCTTCACACAGCTACAGGTACTGTTACTGAAGAATGAGACAAATATAGAAATGAATAGGTAACAAAACAAATTTCAATACACTGCCATTAGAAACAACACAGGCCGTTTTCATGGAAGTGAATTAAAATGGAGGAAACATCTGAAAAGCAACAATGAAGTGAAGGCTAAAGCAGGACCAAGGATGAGAGGTTGGTTTGTTTGAATAAAGAAAGTTAAGGAGTTTCCATGGTGATACGAGACAAAGTGAAACTTTGAGGATAGGTCTTGAAACTTGATCATTAGAAGACTGCAGACTGAAAAGGATAGATATATGTGATCAAAGTCATACATACGAGAGGGGAAAAACAGGACAGAGTCAAGGATAGGTAATAAGAAGTAAATAATATACCAAAGGGACCTCCAAAAATGAATGACAGAACAAGGTTAGAAAATTGAGCATGAAACATTTGTTAAAGACCACAGAATACCAGGGCTTAAGAACAAATAAAAGAGAATCTACAAAGAATGGTTATAGAGAAATAATTTAAATGACACCATGAAATCATAAAATATTATACAGATGATGAAATAAAGGTTCAACATAGGAATGAATAAACACAAAACGAAATGAATACAAAGAATGTTGCAACAAATATGGATGATGCACATAAAGAAGTAAGGATAAATATAACATAACAACGTAAGAAAAGATATTTGCTAGTTTGTAGAACTCAATCTTAAAATACCATGTCAGTTGTATTTGGATGGCTTTCTGTCACCCAACAAGATAATCAATAAAACTGGAATTACCTATATTTTAAATCATAAATAAAGTACAAATAGAAAATATTCAAACCTATCAATTATTTTTCAATAGTCCCAACTCAAGCTCCATTTAAGCATATTTCATTGACCAGTCTATATTTCAGAAATTCAGCCATTACCATGACACTATATTTTTATTTGCTGCCATCTGTTGGGCAGACAAATATCATTATTTCATATATATTGTGTTGAAGAAAAAGTCAGGTTCTGGTAAAGGTGGACAATTTGTCATCTTTTCATTCTTATCTAGATCAGTTTGGAAGAGAGTCATAATAGAAATGTTCCCATGAAAAGGATCGCTCTTTAAGTGCCCTCATATTCAAATTGTGATGAGAATAGCTGCAGGATTTGGACCAAACATTCATGCCACAAGATCAATCCAATATACCTATTTCTGTGTGAAGTGCATGTACTCTTTATCAAAATTTAGTAAATTTCTTATCAAATCAATGATTCAGAAACCTGACAGTATACACCAATTCCCATATGCTACATGATCAACTCGTATGTATTACATAATCAAGCTTTCCAAATTGCTTCTGGCCAGTTCTTTGACCAGAAACCAACTTTATCTGTAGAATATGATATATGTACAAAATGTATGGTGTGATCATATCTAAAACTGAATTACGATGATAATGCCATCTTGCAGATATGCAGCCTTTTAATTAAAAAAGAAATCATGCATATAATTCATTCAATAATTTAAGCGTAAAGATCATTCTATACAGCTAAATAGACGTGAGAGTCAGATAGCAAATGGATTTAAGAAATTCTGCTGCAATGGACCACTTCTTAAAAATTCAAACTCGTTTATTGCTCTGATTGCAGGAACATGAACGTGAATTTAAGAGCAATGCCAGCTTTACCACAACAAAGGACATAATATAACAGTTCTATGAGAAATACAAATATTATACAATTACCATTTTTGCAGAATGTACAACTAGAGCTCCCTCTCCATCTAGCTCTGGATCTCTGACATCATCCTCCTCTCCTTCTGGTTTAGGTTGGTACTTGATACCACACGTTGCTGGGAACCTCCCCTGGAACGTCCTGTAATGACCAGGAGGAGCAGCATCTACCTTGGTGGCTAGTTCAGTGATCTTAATCTTCTTCTTCTGCTTCAAGTGCTGCTGCTTTAGTTTCTCTGGATCCTCCTCTTCAACCATGTGGTCATGGAGGTATGGATCCTCGTCTTCCTTGTCAAACTTGTTGTCATACTTGTTATACGGTGTATCGTCGTCGTAGTAGTCGTCTCTGTAGTCTCTGTCGTTGTAGTGATCATAGCGGTCATGATGGTCACCATGACTACTGTGATAAGCATCATCCAAGCCCTCTTGTCTGGTGAGTTGTCTTCTTGGTGGTGCTTTCCTGTGATTGGATCTGATGGCTTCCCGTCTCAGTCGGTCAGAATCTGACGTTGTGCTGATCCCTGAATCAGGAGTGAGATCTGTCAAGGACCTGTCGCTGTAGTGCCTGTTCCTGTCCATATGGTATTCTCTACCATCAGGTCCATACCTCTCATCCATGCTATGGTATTCTCTCTGATGATACTCCCTCATACTGAGCATCCTTCTGTCCATTTGAGGACTGGAGTCTGAAGGGTTGCTCTGTTGAGAGTTGCCCATCCTGTCCAGGGTTCCCCGATGCCTCCTGGGAACTGGACTACCATCACAGAGGTTCCCTGTAGACCTAGCCTCTCTCATCTGACTGTCGTTCTGTGGACTGGCCCCACGACCATCCCATTCATTGGACAGTCCACTTGGAATGGAACGGTCGCTGGATTGAGATGAGGGATGGGAGCCCTCGCCACGTTCTGACCGGCTTCCAGATCGAGATTTGACGATAGTGCCTCTCATCCGATTCTTACGATCAAAGCCACCTAAGTGACGACCAAAGAAGCTCTTTTTCCTGTCCAGCTTGATGTCACCACCTTCCCCTGCTTAAACAAATAAAAAAAGACAGTGTTTAAACGTCTTGTAGTTTTTCTGAATTTGGTAGAACCCATCTTTTCTGGGATGCTAAATGTATAGACATACAGCGATTTCATATTTGTCATCTATTTCAATTTGGAGTAACCAATGGTTTCAAGGATGTTATGGCAACTAGTTCAATCATCTTCTTTCCATTTGTAACTAAGTAGAATTATTTATATTGACGTGAAATGATAATGGAATGAGAAATTTCTTAATTGTTAAATTCAAAGTTTTATTCAAGTTTACAAAATACTTGCATATTCTGACTTGCTTGAATGCATCTTATCATATCATACTTTATGAGATGTAAAACCATTTTTACATAATTTATAGAATGTGTTGAAGGTATATGGAAAAGCGTTTTATCCTGTTCAAAAGTTTAAGACAATCCTGCAATCATCAATTTTCATACTCTAAAATATACTGACAGATTATTTATAAAAAACACACAATATTCTACTGAGAACAATTTTATGGTTCCGTGTAAAATCATCACAGACCTTTATACGCTTGTATACTTCCCTAATACTTATCACATGCAATGATCTAGACTGGATATATACTCTCATACCAGCAAAGCTAATTCATGTGCAGTTTGCAAAGGATTGGCTTCTGCAATGTACAAGTAAATGTCACCATGCCTGCTAGATTTAATGATGACCTTGTATAAGTGGGCCAGGATTTGACAGTAGCATGTGACATTTGCTTTCGACAACGCTGACCTCAATCATGGGTGGAGAAAAGAATCTTACTTTAAGCACCTTCTTACCACACTCCCCGGCCCGCATACCACTGATAATCCATGTGATATTTATGGATATGAACTGACAGGGTTAACACTCTGCCTGCAGAAACCCTGATATGCCATTGATATTACACATGATATTCATTATTAGTACTGACAGTGTTATACCAATCACTGGAACAGTGCCATACAAGAGATCCAAGGAGAATAAGTAAATGAATTAAGAGAATAAAAATGATGTAGCATAAATGTACTAAATTCTTTAATAAACATGTCATCAAATACTATCATCTATGGCTTGTATAAAGAATTTTATATATTTATCAAAGCAAAGCAATAATATACATCTTGAAATATCAGTAAACATAATCAGTAGAGAAAACAATCTCAAGTTGCCAACAAAGCCACATGAAATCACATTAATACTACCAAGTTTCTATTTCAAGTCACAGAAAGAAGAAACACTCTGAATCCTCTTTAAATCTCTTTGTTGATATTTACTAGCTGAAGAAATGTTAACAAATATATAGATTTATAAAGTCAAAGTAGCACATGTACCAAAAATAGTTATTTGGTAGGAAAACCTAGAGTAAAAGAAGGCCTACACATATTACAGATAGAATCTGAAGTAGTAAATAACAGTGAGTGCCGAAGAAAGGAAAGTATTCTCAGGTGCACTTATAATTACAGCAACAGAGAAAACAAGGTAGAATAGAAACTAGCCAAGATAGTTAAGTCGGTTCACACATGAGGCAGTTAACCCATTCAATTATATCCCTTTGGTGAAGGGAAACCTTCCTTTGTACTACTAAGTGTTGTGGTTGTCTGCCCTCTAGAAGTCCCCTTTTTAGTTGTTGTCTGTTCAAGCCTGGATTTCAATCAACAGAACATGTTTTCACTATAATGTGTAAATTTACATCCCACTGACAGCAGTGGGAGGCAAGTGATAAATAACATTTGAATGTAAATTATTTATCATAGACTTGGTGAAGGTGATGTGATGACCTGGTGGCCGCAGTGGGATGTAAACCACAGGTAAACAATATGCAAATTATCCATCATTCCCCTGGTGGCAGCAGTGGGATGTAAATGACAGGTCAGGTAAACAATATGTAAATTATCCATCATTCACCTGGTGGCAGCAGTGGGATGTAAACGTAAAGTATCCTACTTTGATGTTTTTATAATATACAAGCAACAACATACAAGTACAATTGCACCTTTTACATGTAAAGAAGCAGTGTTGTAGGATATAAAACCAAAATGTTGTACACCTGTACTGCATATCTCATCTTATTTGGCAATGGAATATTTTGTGAGCTAGTTTACTGCTTCGTGTGAGAACAAACCGAAGTCAGCTGGGTGAACCCATATGTAGAGTACAAAAACAATTTTACTGTCTGTTTGAACACTTAAAGATAGAAAAGAAATGACACACACATTTATTGAAAGATAAGTTTATGTCTTTTATCAGATGAAGATGTGGACATGTTGAAGTACAATAGTGTTGTATGTGATCAATACTAAATGAAGCTATTAAACTTTCATGAAAAGTTTTCTATAAATTAAAAGAACATCTACACTCTTGCATGGCAGGAGGACACTGTAAATCTAATCACAGATCAATCATCAGCAATAAAATAAGATATGGAACATCTCAAGAAGATGTAGACTTATTGACTACAAACACTTCAGGAAAAAAAGAATTATTTCCATCTGATCTATAAAGGATATGTAAAATTTTCTATAAATTGAAAGAACATCTACGACATTTGCATGGCAGTAGAACATTGTTAATCTAGTCAGAGGTCATTCACTCATCATCAAAGAAAAAAAAATATGGAACATCTAAAGAAGATGTAGACTTATTGAAGCACAAAAATTTAAGAAAAAAGTGAGTTTTCTTCCCATCTGACCTATAAAGGATCTAATGAAATAATGGATTTTTATCAAGAGAGTGCTATCTCTGATGAGGATGAAAAGTATATGACTAAAAAAAAAAAAAAAAAAAAAAAATTACAAAGCAGTGGTACCTTTACATCCAAATTAAGAAAGTGGGAGGGGTAAGTAAATATACACATTTTTGTCATGTCAGTTTTTTGTTGTTGATTATTTTAAAAACTGGAATATGTTTTGGCATTATATGATTGACAAGTGATGGTAAATGTGCACAGCCTTTACATTACAAAAAATGTATGTCATGTCTTTATTCATCAGTACCAAGGATATTTTGAGATGAGTTTTTCATAAAAACATGATCTTTGCCGGTTTTATTCACCTCTTAATGGGATAATAAAATATAATTTACATACATTTCCAACTGTAACTTGTAGTTACCTAAATAATGTATGAAAAGTCATGGATAATAAATCTTTTTCTTCATTGTAAAGGTCAGTCTGGAGGCACATCCGAGTTCAGAAATGCCCGAAAGACGCCTTGATAAGTGAAGGCTAGCATGGCAAGTTAATACAATTATAGACTGGAGTTTGTTTTTGTAGGAAGATTACATGGGAGACATGTGTTGGCTGATGGCGGACATGTGTGGTAATAAACACTAGAGGGAGTCTTTGTAATGAAAACATTTAGGTTCATGAGACTGATAAGGGTACCCCAACTCTCATTCACATATGGCAAACAATCCAAATATTACCAGGCCATAATGTCACTGGGTACGTACATTTATCCATGGTCGATCACAATATCTAAACAAATTATAACAAAAAAATATGATTCCATTTTTAAAACAATGCCTGGGTCAAATATCCAAAATTATCCAAGACATAAATGTTTTTGCTCCTACGATATATTTGTCTACACAGCTGTTCTAGCTTTAACTTGTCTCTATATATCGGTTTATGTTTTAATTGGCAAACATGAGCACGAGTGATGATCAGAGACATAAGCAATAAAATTCTCTGAAATTAGAATTTCAATTCAATATATGTGGGCTTGAAAATCTGCTTTAATAGCCTTTAACACTTATTCTCTGCTTAATTTTGTAAAAGCTGATAGAACATTATAAGTGAATTGTAGGTTCAGATATACTTTACCTTTGAGAGATATTTGTAACCCAATCAGTCACACAACATCTATTATCTGCTTAAAATAAAGACCAATATAAATCCCATGAAGATGAGCTAAAGCAAGAATTTAAGCAATTGTGTTGTTCTCTCACAAGTGACTAAAAACAACTGAGAAGAGAATGAACATCTACTCAATAAACAACTTCAGCTTTTAACAACACAACTTGGAAATCCTTGCTACCTCAACATTACCACTTAATATGACGGATGAAATCTCTAGTACCACTGGTAGAACAAACAGGAAAGAATATGACCAAAATGGATGTTCTGTCCATTGGCAATTCACATGTTCCTCTTATAATATAATGTATCTGTAGCGCATAATAATATTTGGTTGCCATAGTAACTGCTCTGATCTCTCCCCTTCCTCCTGCAGACTCATTTACGTTGTCTTGCTTGGAATAATGAGGGCAATGACATGGCCCAGGTGCTTGTTCTAAATGCTACGAGTGATGGGAATAAATCTAATCTCAACTCAAATGGCATATGGAAATGTCAGAGAGTGAGCAGGGTAGACTAGCTTATAGTAATTTCATTTGCATTGAGCTCACTTTAATGCAACAACATGCATATAGATGTTTGAGGAGGAGGGATTTTATACAAATGTACCATTTGACATTTTCAAATAAAATATGAAATTACTTGATTTCGGCATAAATTTTCCCTAAAATTTGACATTTCAAGCAAAACAAAATCTACATTCTCTGTTTTCCGATTTATTTATTAAACATATCAAGACAAAAAAAAAAATGATCTACCAATTTCCATGTCAGACACTATGCTACTGATCGAATAGCATATCAAATAGCATAACCCCAGAAATACACAAATCTATACTCTATACTCTCGTCACGTCAAGTTATACTTCCAGTTATAGTTCCTAGCGGACCTTTCGGAAGAGACGAACACAAGGTACAAGGTACTGACATGTATGAAACAGTACCCAAAATCTTAGTTTAATGGTGTACCTTCAGGAGTTAGGGATGGCAATCTAAAGGTAAAGAAAGAAGAATCTGAAGTAGGAGAGAAAGATGCATTCACTAAAGATTTTTAAAAAAGAGAAAGAAGAGTGAGACTTCTTTATACAAAATACATAACACAGAAATAAATGATAGAGAGAGAGAAAGAAAGAAAG